AAGTCTGATAAAAATACAAATCAATACCTAAAAAAATATCACGTAAGATAATATAATATATTAATAATAATTGTCTACACTGCTAAGACTGAAGCCCGATGATAGCCTGAAATCAAGGTATATAGTATAAGCCCGTGTGTGAGAGTGATAGAACACTAGGCATTTATATATACCTGAATAAGTGAATATAGAACAAAATCTTCCACCTATGTATACTGGCGTCTATCCTTTTCATAGACAATAGTGTGGTAATGTACATCATATACTGTATTGCCCACGTAAATGGACGCTACCTAGACATCATGCATTACAATAATCTAAGTAGGAATTCACCTATCGCTTCATTGAAGCTTCTGCGTGTATTATTCGAGTTGGAATATATTAAGATACTGGTTTGACTAATTATTAGCTGATATTGGAAAATACATTAAATGTAGTCACACCTAAAATATGTAATTAAAGATATAGCATTATAACATGTTATTATAGCAACACTAACTATATAAATATAATATAATATATTACTTTATGTGATCTGTATGTAGTACTATATATAGCCGAGCTAGCATCATACCACCATCATACATTGACTGCATACTAACACACCACACATAATACCATCTACCAACTATAATACACTAACACACATCAACTAACACACACATACTATCATATCAACACATGCATCCACATACTCACCACTATATTAGTATATTATAACATACACTAACACCCACACATACACACCTACCATAACCCACCACACACAATCAATAATATTAATATATATGATATATATATTGTGATAATTATATAATATATATAATATATATATATATAGTAATATATATATTTAATATTAATAATATGATATTAAATATATGTGATATTAATTATATAGATACTATATATATATATATATTATATATATTAATGTTTATAAGTATGTATTAATATCTAATATCAATACAAACATATATAACCATAACACCACATATATGTTAATATGATACCGTTGTATATATAATACTATCATTATATATTAATATACTTTAATAACAGTATATAATATATATATATTAAATATGTAATATATATTATATTATAATTATAATGTATATATATATTAATATATTATAATATTAATATATATACCAACACAACATACACTAATAATATAATCTAACTATGATAATATGAGTACACTAATCACTACACTACGAACACGAATCATAACTACAACTAGACACTACAATACACACACACCACCCCTCACATAAACACACCCACACTACACACCCAACACATCAATTACACGCATAACACCAGCAACCCACATCCCACCCACACACCACACACACGACACAGCAACATTACATGCATCACATACACTACACAAACCACACTACACGACACCACAACATGCACGACACACACACACACACGCACACACACTATCACACCACCATCACACACCACACACACGCGCTCAACACATACACACACATCACACTATCACATAATAAAATTTGATATATACTGATAATGATATGATCTATAACTATATAGTATATATATATATATATAATATATTAGTAATATACTATATAACAAACCTCACACAGCAACACAAATTTTACGATAACTAACATAACACTAGTATACTATATACAGTATTATAATATACATTATTACATATATATTACTATATAATTATATATTAATATTAATCATATATGGATCCAATATAAATTTACAGATTAATGTAATTATAGCAAACATACACTATATATATATCAACATCATATATATATTATTATAACTAACATATAAATAGATATAGTACATCAATTATATGCCTATATTATATATGTTAGTGTTGTAAGTGTGTGTGGTTGTAGTGAGTGTGATTGAGTTGAATGTTGTATTGTGTGTGTTGTGGTGTGTGTGTGTATGGCTCGTGTTTTGTGTTGCTGTATGTGTGTGCTGTTCGTTTTGTGTCGTGTGTTCTGTGTGTGTGTGTGTGTGTGTGTAGAAGTTTAACATTAATATGTATATAGTAAATGTGTATACATTGAGTATGTATGTATAGCTGTAAACAGTAACCATTAGTGTATGCTTTATCATATATACGTATATATACTATTATAATATATATAGTATAGTATAGATAGTTTAGTAGGTTAGTTGTGATGTACTAGTAGTCCGCCATGATGGTTATAACATTACGATGCCAAGGGATTCATTATGATATTGCGTATATAAATATAAATACATTTCACACTCCTCTCGCCCCCCTAGGATCTGATGAAAATTCCCTGACTCCAGTGAATATATAAAGTACCTACTATATAAGTGTGTTGCGCCAGATAAAGCTTAACTCCCTGGATACGGTGTATGTGTAATGTGTGTTAACCCGCCTGTTGTGTTAAGATTGTTGTTTGGCCCTAGTCCAAAAGCCTTCCTCCTTGTGTCGGGTGTGTGTGTGCGATGACTGTCTGTTGTATTAAATTATACATCAATAATCATCATTAATACTATACTATAACTATAATCATTATAATACGATTACGATATGTGCATATATATATAGGTATTATACTTATATATATAAATTTACATATATGTATATACAAACATACATATATGTTTGTGTGTGTTTGTGTGTGTATGTGTGTGTATTTGTGTCTAATATAATATAGATAGAGATTTAGATATATGTACATATATATGTGCATAAATAGATACATATGTGTGTTCAAGTATAAATAAATAGATAGGTAAATAGATAGATAGATATAGACTAATATAGGTAGGTAAAGATAAACAGAATGATGGAAAGATAGATATATAACTGATCGTGTTTTTATATCCAAGGAAATTATTTTACGTGGATCTAGAAAAGCACAAGCA